TCACAGAGCTCAGGCGGTGTTGTATTTCAGTGTCAATATTGACTTTTGTGGAGAGGTGGCTGCCAAGGTAGCGGAAATTGTCAACATTTTCTAATGTTACACCATTAAGCTGTATTTCTGGCATTGGAGAGGGATTGGCTGGTGACTGCTGGAACAGCACTTTGGTTTTCTCGATGTTCAATGACAGGCCGAGCTTCTCGTATGTTTCTGCGAAGGTGTTTAGAGTGGCTTGTAGGTCTTCTTCTGAATGCGCACAGACGACGTTGTCATCAGCATACTGGAGTTCTATAACAGATGTTGTTGTAACCTTGGTTTTGACTTTCAGTCTGCTGAGGGTAAACAGCTTGCCATCTGTCCAATAGATGATTTCCACTCTGGTTAGAAGCTTCCCATCAACAAGGTGAAATATCATAATAATGAAGATGGAAAATAAGGTTGGGGCAATAACACATCCCTGTTTGACACCTGATTCCACCTTAAATGGGTCACTTTGGGAGCCATTGCTGTTCAAGACTGTTGCCATCATGTCATCATGGAGAAGCCACAGGATGTTCACAAATTTGTTTGGGCACCCAATGTTTTGGAGGATGGTCCAGAGAGTGCTGCGATTCACTGTGTCAAATGTCTTGGCAAGGTCAATGAATGCCATGCACAGAGGTTGGTTTTGTTCCCTGCATTTATCTTGGAGCTGTTCTGCAGTGAAGACCATGTCCACGGTTCCTCTGGAAGGGCGGAAGCCGAAGATTCTGGGAGGGTGTCTTCTGACCCAGACAAGAAAGAGGTGAAAACCAGATGAGAGAATTGAGATCTAGTCTAGGTAAGATAGGGTTGCACTGTTGGAAATAGCAACCTTCCAAACCTTCACTATTTGCTGGTTAATGTATATATTTGCTAACCTTTATTATATGTGTTGTGGGCCCGGCCTCATGTAAGCCGCACCAAGTCCCTTGGGAGATGGTAGCGGGGTATAAATAAAGTTTTATTATTATTTATTATTATATGAAGCATAGTCAGGTGAAAACTGGGCCTGAGGCTCTGCATAGATTCATGATCTCCATGGATAGATGCCTTTAAATTGTATGAGAAAGACACATTTCCAAATGCACAGAGACAGGCCTGGCCAAAGATCCCCAGGGAGCAACAATCCCCAGAGAGACGTTGTATGTTTACTAACAGATGCCTCCAGTTCACAGTTATTACTTCAGCTGTAAACTCCAAGGAATACCAACATGATGCACGAGCCTCTTCGAAGTGCGTCGAATGTGCATGTCTCCAAAGAGCCTCCTTCCAAATTGACAGCACAGAATTTTTCAAGCCCCATGTAATACTCGAAAAACTGGTTATATTGCAAGACACTCGACCAGACACACTTTGCAAATTAGCTAAGCAGCAGCTGGCACATAGAAAAAGAAGGGCCTATTAAAGCATTACAGCTGCATGGTGATTGACTGCCACGTGCCTCTATTGATATGCCACGCAAGCCATCCACCTGTCCATCTTCTCCAATACAAAACTGTCTGGCTTCTGGGGTTCAAGAGGAAGCCTTTCTTTCAGTCTTCCTAAGTTCATGGTGTTGTGACTCAGCTGGAACCACAGACACAGACTGATAGTGTTGTGACTCAGATGGGGTCTCTGAGAGACTCTGACGAGGATGATGGGATTCAGGTTCACAATCAGGTTCAAAATGTTCCTGTTGTAGACAATAAGGAACAGGGTGTGCAAGTTCAGTTTCCCACAGCAGGGAATGATGTTTTTGATACTGAAACTAGTCAGGTGTAAATTGACTCAGAAAAGGAGGACAGTTCTCAGCCTGATAGTAGGCAGGAAGGCAACCAAGCTGACACTAACGAGCAGCTTGACCTTGATGAAACGGGAATCTTAGATCGGGCTGACCATTTGGAATTCAGAGTTCGAAGGAGTGTGAGAATAGCCAACAAGAAGGAGGTCAGAGGCCAAAGAAATGCTTTCATGTATTGCAAAGGGTATTAAGCAGTGTGTTTGAAAACAAACCTTTGTCAGAGCAACTTCTCGCTCAACCAAGCAGCTCCAACAGACCTCACTACCTCTGAGGATGCTTGCCATAGATGCAGGCGAAACGTCAGGAGAGAATGCCTCTAGAACATGGCCATATAGCCCGGAAAAAACCTACAACAACCCAGTGATTCCGGCCATGAAAGCTCCAATTTTACTTTGCGCTCAACCAAGCAGCTTGGGCTCATTTACCTGGATTATCTTGTAGTTCTTGTGTCCATGGTCTTGGGACTTTGTCATGTTCTCATGAGAGATTGTTTTTGGTGACTCTTGGAATCCTGCTTTACAGTGTTATGCTTTATTGATCTTTTGGAATATTAGTTGCTTTTATGAACTTTTCATCTTTTACTTTGTAATAAACTACAAAGACTTCAGTCTGTGTGCAGTTTTGGTGATTTCAGCAAGGTGAATCTATTCTGAGGTGCGACACATGGACCCATTTGGTGAGAATGCAAGGGAGAGCCTTCTCAGTTTTGGCTCCAAAAGCATGGAGGTATACATTGGTCTCCTCTTTGTTGTTGTTGTGCCAGTAGGCAAAAAAACTTTTTATTCAAGTGATCTCCTGATAGCTTGACTGGATAAGGATGAAGGGGTTTTAAACAGATTAGCACTGTGATTTTAATACTGTTAGAATCATAGAGTTGGAAGAGACCTCATGGGCCATCCAGTCCAACCCCATTCTGCCAAGAAGCAGGAAAAATGCATTCAAAGCACCCCTGACAGATGGCCATCCAGCCTCTGTTTAAAAGCTTCCAAAGAAGGAGCCTCCACCACACTCCGGGGCAGAGAGTTCCACTGCTGAACAGCTCTCACAGTCAGGAAGTTCTTCTTAATTCAGATGGAATCTCCTCTCTTGTAGTTTGAAGCCATTGTTCCGTGTCCTAGTCTCCAGGGAAGCAGAAAACAAGCTTGCTCCCTCCTCCCTGTGGCTTCCTCTCACATATTTACACCTGGCTATCATATCTCCTCTCAGCCTTCTCTTCTTCAGGCTAAACATGCCCAGCTCTTCTCCTCATAGGGCTTGTTCTCAGACCCTTGATCATTTTAGTCACCTTCCTCTGGACACATTCCAGCTTGTCAATATCTCTTCAATTGTGGTGCCCAGAATTGGATACAATATTCCAGGTGTGGTATAACCAAGGCAGAATAGAGCATGGGGAGCATGACTTCCCTGGATCTAGGAACTATACTTTTATGTTGTGGCATTAATGTTATAATCAGTTTAATTGTACAGTAGAGTCTCGCTTATCCAACCTTCGCTCATCCAACATTCTGTATTATCCAACGCAGTCTGCCTCCTACTCAGATTCACAGCTGTCTCAATATATTGCGATATTTTGGTGCTAAATTCATAAATACAGTAATTACTACCTAACATTACCATGTATTGAACTGCTTTTTCTGTCGATGTGTTGTAAAACATGAAGTTTTGGTGCTTAATTTGTAAAATTATAATGTAATTTGATGCTTAATCGGCTTTTCTTTAATCTCTCCTTATTATCCAACATTTTCACTTATTTATTTATTATTTATTACTGTATTTGTATACCACCCTTCTCAGCCCTCAGGTGACTCAGGGCAGTTTACAATGGCAACGATTCGATGCCCAAAAACACCATAAAACATTTAAAAATATTAACACATAATATAAAACCATAACAAGAATATTAAAACATAGATCATTTGCGTCTCTTAATAAAAAAAAACATTGTCCCATCTCGTCATCCATTTCAGAAAAGAGTCAAACGCTTGCTCAAACATCCAAGTCTTAACTTTCCTCCGGAATGCTAAAAGGGTGTGGACTGATCTAATGTCCCCAGGAAGGGTGTTCCATAGCCGAGGGGCCACCACTGAGAAGGCCCTGTCTCTCTTGTCCCCACCAAACATGTTAGTGACGCAGGCGGGATTGAGAGCAGGGCCTCCTTGGATGATGTTAAAGTCCTAGTAGGTTCAAATCCAACATTCTGCCGGCCCATTTAAGTTGGATGGACTCTACTGTATTTAAATATTCTAGTTTTTCTTTATTTTCACATTCACTTGTTTTAGACCGACGGAGAGTCACCTTGAGTTTGAGTTCAGGAGGAAAGACAAAATATAAGCCAAAGAAGAGGAAGGAAGGAAGGAAGGAAGGAAGGAAGGAAGGAAGGAAGGAAGGAAAAGGAAGGAAGGAAGGAAGGAAGGAAGGAAGGAAGGAAGGAAGGAAGTGTTGGGCTACCTTAGATCTCATTTGGACCATATCACAATTAATCCAAGATTTTCACCATTGATTCGTCGTCCATTTAAGAAAAGAGTCAAACGCTTGCTCAAACAGCCAAGTCTTACCTTTCCTCCGGAATGCTAAAAGGGAGGGGGATGATCTAATGTCCCCATGAAGGATGTTCCATAGCCGAGGGGCCACCACGGAGAAGGCCCTGTCTCTCGTCCCCACCAAACATGTTTACACAGGTGGGATCGAGAGCAGGGCCTCCCCAGATGATCTTAAAGTCCTAGCAGGTTCAAATCCAACATTCTGCCGGCCCATTTAAGTTGGATGGACTCTACTGTATTTAAATATTCTAGTTTTTCTTTATTTTCACATTCACTTGTTTTAGACCGACGGAGAGTCACCTTGAGTTTGAGTTCAGGAGGAAAGACAAAATATAAGTCAAAGAAGAGGAAGGAAGGAAGGAAGGAAGGAAGGAAGGAAGGAAGGAAGGAAGGAAGGAAGGAAGAAGGAAGAAGGAAGAAAGAAGGAGAAAGAAGAAGGAAGGAAGGAAGGAAGGAAGGAAGAAGGAAGGAAGGAAGGAAAGAAGGAAGAAGAAAGAAAGAAAGAAGGAAGGAAAGAAGGAAGAGAAGGAAGGAGGAAAGAAGGAAGGAAGGAAGGAAGGAAGGAAGGAAAGAAGGAAGGAAGGAAGGAAGTGTTGGGCTACCTTAGATCTCATTTGGACCATATCACAATTAATCCAAGATTTTCACCATTGATTCCTTACCTGGATGATGTACGATAAAGCCAAGCCTTTTTCAGCAGCACTGATGGAAGGCGGGCTGAGTACAACAAAGAGGGAGACGATCAAAGTCATGGCATTCATAAGGATATCTGTCCTCACTGCAAACCACCTTAAGGCACAGTTAAAAAGTATGAAATGGCCGGAGTTTTCATCATTCAACATCTTAAAGCTGAAATAGAAAAGCAAAGATGAAAGTTGTCAGTAGTTGTTTCAAGTCAATTTGAGCGTGCAAAGACCGGGCTTGTTATCTGACTAGGGAATGGATGAGAAATGTATCACGGTTGCATGTTAATGCCTGAAGCCCCAGTTCTCGCCACTTCTATCCAGTTCACTCAGGAGATCCGATGGCAAAATGGGTTAATCCCTTGTATCGGCAGGACTGAAGACCGATAGGCCAGAGGTTCAAATCCAGGGAGAGTACGGATGAGCTCCCTCTGTCAGCTCCAGCTCCCCATGCGGGGTCATGAGAGAAGCCTCCCACAAGGATGGTAAAACATCAAAACATCCAGGCCCCTGGGCAACATCCTTGCAGATGGCCAATTCTCTCACACCAAAAGCAACTTGCAGTTTCTCAAGTCGCTCCTGACACACACACATACAAATCTTCACAAAAAGATACAATATATCAGTGTTTCTCAACCTGGGGGTCGGACCCCTGGAGGGTCATGAGGGGGTGTCAGAGGGGTCACCAAAGACCAGTCTGGCCCAATTCTATCGTTGGTGGGGTTCAGAAAGCTATTTGATTGTAGGTGAACTATAAATCCCAACAACTACTCCTAAATGTCAAGGTCTATTTTCCCCAAACTCCACCAGTATTCACATTTCGGCATATTGAGTATTCGTGTGCCAAGTTTGGTCCAGATCCATCATTGTTTGCGTCCACAGTGCTCTCTGGATGTAGGTGAACTACAACTCAAGGTCAATGCCCACCAAACCCTTCCAGTATTTTCTGTTGGTCATGGGAGTTCTGTGTGCCAAGTCTGGTTCAATTTCATCATTGGTTGAGTTCAGAATGCTCTTTGATTGTAGATGAACTATAAGTCCCATCAACTACAACTCACAAATGACAAAATCAATCCCCCCCCAACCCCACCAGTATTCAAATGTGGGCGTATGAGGTATTTGTGCCAAATTTGTTCCAGTGAATGAAAATACATCTTTCATATCCGATATTTACATTGCAATTCCTAACAGTAGCAAAATGATAGTTATGAAGTAGCAATGAAAATAATGTTATGGTTGATTGTCACCACAACATGAGGAACTCTATTAAGGGGTCGCGACATTAGGAAGGTTGAGAAACACTGATGTAGATGGACAAATGAAGCCTCCTTTGCGATTGATTTGTTTTGCCCAGATCTAATGACAAGCACAATATTACCTTGAATTTTAGGATGGAGAGCACATTTGAAATTAGGGTAGATTAGTTCAAGACTATGGTTACAATGTTGTCTACCAGGACAATCCACTCCAAGGTTTAGCCTGACATTGAAATCTCCCATCCAAGGTGATAGATTGTAGCTACAATCGGATTCAGCACCTTGGACAGAGCTCTTTAAGTTTCCATTCAAACCCCAAGTAGGTTCAACAGCCACCAGTGTGATGGATTGGATCTCTCTCTGTTCCTTCACCATGTTATTTCAAATTGTAGATTTTATAGAAGATAAATTATGGATTGTTTTAATATTCCCATGGATATAAGTTTTTTTTCTTTTCATGACAGCATTAGAGATGTTTTACTGGTTGAATAATCCACACATGGTTGAGGTTATTCAGAACTCCTGCAGGCCTCCACCTTTGATGTTTGAACATGTTGCAAGCCTATTTAACTATAGAAGGACCAAGTCCTCCTTTTTCTGGATTGTTTCAGGAAAAAAAATACATTATGTTGGCATCAAAGACCCTTCCACACAACGTGTCAATAGCACTATCATTTCGTTTTTCTTGTCATGGTTGGAATCCTGGCCTTTGTAGTTTACTAAAAGACTAGAGCAGTGTTTCTCAACCTTCCTAATGCCGTGACCCCTTAATACAGTTCCTCATGTTGTGGTGACCCCCAACCATAACAGTATTTTTGTTGCTATTTCATAACTGTAATTTTGCTACTGTTATGAATCATAATGTAAATATTTGATATGCAGGATGTATTTTCATTAACTGGACCAAATTTGGCACAAATACTCGATACGTCCAAATTTGAATATTGGTGGGTTGGTTGGTTTTGTCATTTGGGAGTTGTAGTGGCGGGGATTTATAGTTCACCTACTATCAAAGAGCATTCTGAACTCCACACAATGGAATTGAACCAAACTTGGCACACAGAACTCCCATGACCAAGAAAAAATACAGAAATGGTTTGGTGGGCATTGACCTTGAGTTTTGAAGTTGTAGTTCACCTACATCCAGAGAGCACTGTGGACTCAAAGAACGATGGATCTGGACCAAACTTGGCATAAATACTCAATATGCCCAAATGTTTGAGGAAAATACTAGACTTGACATTTGGGAATTGTAGTTGATGGGATTTATAGTTAACCTACAATCAAAGAGTATTCTGAACTCCACCAACAATGAAATTGAATTAAACCTGGCACACAGAATTCCCATGACCAACAGAAAATACTGGAAGGGTTTGGTGGGCATGACCTTGAGTTTTGGAGTTGTAGTTCACCTACATCCAGAGAGCACTGTGGACTCAAACAATGATATCTGGACCAAACTTGGCACAAATATTCATTATGCCCAAATGTGAACACTGGGGGAGTTTGAGGTAAATAGCCTTGACATTTGGGAGTGTAGTGGCTGGGATGTATAGTTCACCTACAATAAAAGTGCATTATGAACCCCACCACTGATAGAATTGGGCCAAACTTCCCCCACAGAACACCTATGACCAACAGAAAATACTGTGTTTTCTGATGGTCTTTGGTGACCCCTCTGACACCTCACTCATGACCCCAGGGGTCCCGACCCCCAGGTTGAGAAATGCTACACTAGAGCTTTTAAGTAACCCTCCCTAAACTACAAATCCTAGAATTTCTATAAGATGTTGCCATGATTGTTAAAGCACAACGATAATGTTATCATTGCACACATCAGAGTTTCCAGCCAGATTCTGGGTTCCAAAAAGATTTGCAAAAGATTGACAGACAAGCTGAATTCTTCCACTTTTCAAGAAATATGGGGAAAAAAACAAGCTTGGAAAAAGAGATATAAAGAGCTCCTGTGGGAATATCATACACCTGCAGACATAACAATCTCCTTGAGACAATTCTGAGGAAGCCATGGCTCAACCCTAGAGCTTCCCTGTGGCTCGTCGCTTCCTGTAAATGAAAAGCCGCAGGATCTCAACTGCTTATGTAGCACAATAACCGAGTGGCTTCATCGATGCGTCCGCAGGTGCAAAATCGACAAGATTGGTAGTCAAAGGAAGAACAACAACAACACAGCTTTATCTATCTCTGTCCAAGCGACCGGCACAGAAAAAGCTGACCTCTGAGTGAGCCAACTCACCGACTCATATAGTCTTCCACCTTATTGTAGGCATGGATTGTACTAAGGCCTTGGATAGATGAGGTGATCAGAGAAAACCACGGGGACCTGCTGGCGTTTTCCACTCGTTTCAGTTCTCGGATAGTGTTCTGAAAAATCCTGCAACAAAACAGGGTTGAGTGTGCAGGTGTATCCCTTTCAAAACTGATATCGTGTTTTCTAAATTCCCTAAATAATTGAATTCTATCAATAAGAGAAGAGTAATAAAGAGTAAAATAATACATGTCATAAAAATAATAATAGAATAAAGTAATATAAACGTAATAATAATAGAGTAAAATAATGTTGAAGACAGTTCCATCTTATTAGTGCTTTACTAATAATATAATATAATATAATATATTGTATATACATATGTTTATAATATTATGTAATACAATATGATATTAATAATAATACAATAATAATTATATATTTTATATTACATGTAATATTACTAATAATATTACAATATAATGGTGTAGTACAATATAGTAATATATAATACTGATATTGTACTATGCTAATAATTTAATATATTGTATGTATATATATATCTTGTAAGTTGCTCTGAGTCTCCTTTGGGGTGAGAAGGACGGCATATAAATGACGTAAATAAATAAAAAAATGTAATAATAGTAAGTAAAGTATAATAATAATAATAATAACAACAACAACAGAGTAAAATAATAAATAGTATTGACTCGAGCATAAGCTGAAGGGAGCTTTTTCTGTTGGGAATCAGCCTGTGATTGAACCTGAGCCTGTGTTTGAACCTGTTATTGTGTTTCAATCTCCTGATGTTTCTGTGTCTGATGTGGGTAATGAGGAGGGAAATCAGTCCCAAGTTGCTTCTGATGTGGGGGATGCTGGGACTGACTCTGAGGTGCAAGATGGAGACACTTTGGTCAATGAGCTTCATGCAGACACTGACAGAGAGGCTTCGGTGCAAAGGGCAGATTCTCATGAGAATGTTTGTCAGGCATTGGGAGAAAGGTTTACTCCCTCCGCTTGTGAGCTCTCCAGATTCTAGTTTGGAAAACAGTCTGACACCTGGTAAAGTTAATGAAGAGTCAGATAAGCAGAGTCGGCGGCTGGAGATTAGCCAGAATCGACAAGAGGCCCAATGTTTACGTAGATCTGAAAGAATTCGTCAGTTAAGGTCAAAGACTGGAGGAAAACGAAACCAGTTTTTGGGATTTAAGGTTTGCCTTTAGAAATCTTGTCAGATCAGGCATCGTTTGGAAACCAAGTGCAAGCCTCATGGAATTCCTGTTCAAGTGGTCTTGTTTTCATGGTTTTTTTCTAGCCTTTCAAGGTGACTAGCAGCGTCTGGTCTGTTCTTGCTTCTTGTTTAATTCCTGTCTGGATAAACATTGCCTTGGATTATATTTTCATGCTTTTTGGACTTTGCTTTTGATTGCTACAAATTGGACACTGTTTTATCTTGCTGCCTTTGAATGCCTTATTGCTTTTTGGAATCTCATCTACCTTTACAAGCATTTATTTCTAATGGCTTTTTTTTTTGCTAAGCTTTAATAGAAAGGATTGTTCCTTCACTCAACGTGTGGTGAGTTTATAGTCAGAGGGACTATTTCCTGTTCTGGAGTGCAACATTTTCAGCCTAAAAAGGGGGCTGAAAAACTCAGCTTATACTCGGGTATATATGGTATTTTGTTTATTTATTTTGTATTGACCATCAGAATTTAATTTAAGGACTTACTGGAAAAGCAGGATGAAAATCACAGTTAGGACAGCCACCACAATTAGGAGGTAAGGAAACACAATGGCAACGATGGTGACAACCGAGAGCACCATGAAAAACTGCTGCAGAAAATTCTCAGCATTAAAGGGAAGCCTCACATCCAGTTCGTCCATATCCTTTGAAAAACGGTTCATTACTCTGCCAGTGGGAGTCGTGTCAAAGAAACTCATAGGGCTCTGTAAGATCTGTGGATCAAAGGGGGCAGAGAAAGTGCTAAGAACAACAACAGCAATGACAAAATAAGAAGGCAGAGATGTCTTTTGCAGCAGTGAGTTGCTTGCATGGCAGAGATGTGACTCTGGTCTAATCCGAGCGGTGGCATAACATACAGCAACGTGGAGTTGTTTTTGTTTGATAACTAACTGGAAAGGGTTGTTTGCAAAACAGCCTTTAAAGGAAAACCATGGGTTTTGTGTTTCCTTTTCATTACAGCCATGACTTTAAACACAGGAGACTTGCCACAGTGGAATCACAATAATGGAAGTAAACATCTCCTTAAGGTATAAATATCTGCTCTGGGAAAACAAAAAGACTGGAAATTCATATGATCTACCAGCATGATCTCCAAATGGTCAGACTGCATGTCCAACTCCTTGTGGTTAGAACAAAAGTGGAGATTCGGAGACTAAACTGCAAAGCATTGGTTGGAGGTCGCCTCCATGCCAGTTTCTTACATTCCTCTAGGTCAGCATTTCTCAACCTGGGGATTGGGACCAAACTACATTGGAAGTTGGAAAGTGGCATTTGTAATTGCAGGCTCAACAATTAGCTCCACAACCTTCTGACGCCAACAGATTACTTGTACAAAATCCAGCCTGCTTCACACTTCCCATTCAAATATGTCGCAACAGACTAAAGATTTGGTATACCTTGTAAAAGACGGTGTTGTGTAGATTCGATGAAGCTCGTAGCGTTGTCTTTGTAAACACAAAGCCTTTGATGAAGCTGAGGATAATCATGCCGATGATGCTCATCCCATAGACCAGTTGATAGAAGTGCAGTTGAGGGTTATCAGTGATGCTTCCTTCGCTGCAGGTGATGTTTTGCACAGAGCTACAATTACCCTTTTGAAAAGAGAGAATGTTTTCAAATAACAAGCTATTGTAAGTCTTGCACCCATGGGGATATTATAAGTCAGTGTTTCTCAACCTGGGGGTCAGGACCCTTGGGGGAGTCCTGAGGGAGGTTTGTGGAGTTGCCAAAGACAATCAGAAAAACACATATTTCTGATGGTCTTAGGAACCCTTTTGGTAGATAAGGCTGAAGAACTCTTCCCCCTGTTCTTCTCGTCCTTTTTGGTGTTAGTGAACTACAACTCCCAGAATTCAAAAGCGACCCCCAACCCACCAGTATTCACCCCCACCCCACACTGCCTACCATGTAGATAGTAGATAGTGTGCCAAGTTTGGTGCAGATCTATTGTGGGCTGGTTTCAGAGTGCTCTTTCATTGTAGGTTTACTATAAATCCCAGCAAATAAAACTACCAAATATCAAAGTCTATTTTTCCCAAACTCCACCAGTGTTCACATTTGGACATATTGAGTATTCATGCCAAGTTTGGTCGAGTTCGGTCATAGTTTGAGTCCACAGTACTCTTTGGATGTAGATCAACTACAACTCCAAAACTCAAGTTCAATATCCACCAATCTCTTCCAGTATTTTCTGATGGTCATGGGAGTTCTGTGTGTCAAGTTTGGTCCTTGGTGGAGTTCAGAATGCTCTTTGATTGTAGGTGAACTATAAATCCCAACAACAAAAAATCCCAAATATCAAGGTCTATTTCCCACAAAATCCACCATTTTTCACATTTGGGCATATTGAGTATTCATGCCAAGTTTGGTCCAAATCAGGCATGTAGCCAGGAGGGGGGCTTGAGGGGCTTCACCCCCCCCCCCCGAAATTCTCATGGTGGTCCGCGAGAAGGCCTTCCTGGTACATTATTTAAACTGTTATGTTTATTCATATCATGATCTGATCACCATGCTCAATATATCCCATATGCATGGGGGTATGGAGTAACAATACAAAAGGTTTGCTAGGGTAGACCCTCTTTCACTCAGACTCAGCCCCCCCCCCATCAAACTCAGCCCCTCCCGAATCAAAATCCTGGCTACGGGCCTGGTCCAAATCCATCATTGTTTGAGTCCACAATGCTTTATGAATGTAGGTGAACTACAACTCCAAAAATCAAGGTCAATGCACACCAAACCCTTCCAGTATTTTCTGTTTGTCATGGGAGTTCTGTGTGTCAAGTTTGGTTCAATTCCATCCTTGGTGGAGTTCAGAATGCTCTTTGATTGTAGGTGAACTATAAATCCCAACAACAAAAACTCCCAAATATCAAGGTCTATTTCCCACAAAATCCACCATTTTTCACATTTGGGCATATTGAGTATTCATGCCAAGTTTGGTCCAGATCTATCATTGTTTGAGTCCACAGTGCTTTATGGATGTAGGTGAACTACAACTCCAAAACTCAAGGCCAATGCACACCAAATCCTTCCAGTATTTTCTGTTGATAATGGGAGTTCTGTGTGCCAAGTTTGGTCCAATTCCACCATTGATGGAGTTCAGAATGCTCTTTGATTGTAGGTGAACTATAAATCCCAGCAACTACAACTCCCAAATGACAAAATCAATCCCTCCCAACCACATCAGTATTCAAATTTAGGCATATTGGGTATGTGTGCCAAATTTGTTCCAGTGAATGAAAATACATCCTGCATATCCTATATTTACCTTGCAATTCATAACAGTAGCAAAATTACAGTTGTGAAGTAGCAACAAAAATAATGTTGTGGTTGGGGGTCAACACAACATGAGGAACTGTATTAAGGGGTCACGGCATTAGAAAGGTTGAGAAACACTGCTAGACATCATGGCAAATTTCAAAGATGGCAATGTTAGTTTGGATCTGTATGCAAAGGCATCTTGTAGCACTCTTGAGCCTACCTTGGAGAAAGAAGATGGTATCCTAAGCCTTCCTAGGCTTAAGTCTACTTCATCAGATACCTTGAAGCAGACTTAAGCCGACCCAAGCTTATGCTATCAACTTCTTTTTCACTGTAAGTCTCAAAGGTGCAACAAAATCCCTCTCCATATAAATGGCAAATAGCAACAACAACAACAATCCTCTCACTTGAGCTCCGATTATATTGAGTTCCCCCTCCAAATAATAACAATTGGAGACAAAAGAGCATTGGTTGGTTCTTTTTTTGCTTTCTAACGCAATAGACTTCACTTTGCTCAGTGGAATCATAAATGGTTTCACTAAAAGAAGAGAAGAGAAGAGCTCTAGCTGATTTTGGAGTTGTTTGAGTTCAAACAAATGGCTATCAAGGTGGATCAGAAGGAGGATTTGTAACCTTTTTCTTATTGTCAATGATTTGAACTACTACCCATTGACTAGGAATAGAAAAGCATGCTGAGATGTTAAGTTTACTTAGAATAATAGAATCAAAAGCAAAACTGGGATCCATCGATTCGCAGTCATATCACCATATTTAAAATACTTGCAAAGCAATTGGTGGTCTCTTGAACCATACTTTAATATTTCAAAAAATATCAGAAAGATGGTGCTTCAGAGCATCAGTAGGTTAAATGTTTTTGAATCATCAAAAGCGGACAAATGTCAGTGTGCTGGAAGAAGCAAAGACCACCAGCATTGAAGCGATGGTCCTCCGCTATCAACTCCGCTGGACCGGCCAAGTTGTCCGGATGCCTGACCACCGTCTCCCAAAGCAGTTGCTCTATTCTGAACTCAAGAATGGAAAATGGAATGTGGGTTGTTGTAGGTTTTTTCGGGCTATATGACCATGGTCTAGAGGCATTCTCTCCTGACGTTTCACCTGCATCTATGGCAGGAAGCCATGAAAATGAACAAACTCTGGCTACCAGTATTAAAAACCTCTAAAATCACAACAGCACAACAACAGAGAGGAAACAAACAAGGACATCTAATCACCTCTCAACAAAAGTTTGCTCCAGGCACTGTCAGGCCATTATATGCTAATCAAGGTGGTCAGTTGAAACATTCACACCTAGCTCCAGCAGACAAGAGTCCTTTGTCCCACCCTGGTCATTCCACAGATATATAAACCCACTTTCCTAGTTCCAACAGACCTCACTACCTCTGGAGATGCTTGCCATAGATGCAGGCGAAACGTCAGGAGAGAATGCCTCTAGAACATGGCCATATAGCCCGAAAAAAACCTACAATAACCTAGTGATTCTGGCCATGAAAGCCTTCGGAAATGGAATGTTGGTGGACAGGAAAAGAGATTTAAAGATGGACTCAAAGCCAACCTTAAAAACTCTGGCATAGACACTGAGAACTGGGAAGCCCTGGCCCTTGAGCGCTCCAGCTGGAGGTCAGCTGTGACCAGCAGTGCTGCAGAATTTGAAGAGGCATGAATGGAGAGAAATGTGCCAAGAGGAAGGCACGTCAAGCCAACCCTGACCAGTACCATCTTCCACCTGGAAACCGATGCCCTCACTGTGGGAGAAGATGTGGATCAAGAATAGGGCTCCACAGTCACCTACGGATCCACCCCCAGGATACTACACTTGGAGGACCATCATCCTCGGACTATGAGGGATCGCCTAAGTAAATAAGTTTTTGAATATTTACATAAAACTGTAATTTAAGATAAGACTGCCCAATTAAACCATTATTCTGACCTTCTTCAATGTAAATGTGCTTACGTATTCCTCCAATAATAACAGAGTAAAATAATGAATGCAATAACAGAATTATAGAAATTAAAGAACCCTAAAAAAGTCTAAAATTATAACAGTAAAGCAACGCTCAGACACAGGGGAACTCCAGAGAGGAAACAATCAGGGACAGCTAATCACCTCTCAATAAAAGATTCCCCCAGGCAGTAACAAGCCACACCTAAAAACCGCCAAGCCATCAAATGTTAATCAAGGTGGCCAATTGAAACATTCACACCAAACTCCAACAGACAAGAGTTCTTTGTCCCACCCTGGACATTATTCCACAGATATATAAACCCAAATTTCCCAGTTTCCAACAGACCACACAACCTCTGTTCCATCTTTGAATGTGTTATTCCTATTTAATCATGCAGTACTTACTTTGACAGTAGTTGTTACACTCCAAAAACTTAGTGTCTGTAGCCGCCACAAACTAGGTTGAATGGGTTGAGACTCGACAAGTCGTCAACTCCCAGAAATCCTAACAGCTGCTAAACTGGCTGGGATTTCTGGGAGTTGTAGGCCAAAACACCTGGGGACCCACAGGTTGAGAACCACTGCCCTAAACGGTTCTGGCCCAACTTACCTGCTGAACGTATCTCCCCCTACAAACCACTGAGGACTTTAAGATCATATGGGGAGGCCCTGCTCTCAGTCCTGCCTTCGTCACAAGCATGTTTGGCGGGGACGAGAGACAGGGCCTTCTCAGTGGTGGCCCCTCAGCTATGGAACGCCCTCCCTAGGGAGATCAGATCTGCTCCCTCCCTCTTGACGTTTCGGAGGCAAGTTAAAACGTGGCTATTTGAGCAAGCTAATATAGGAAATCGAATGACCTGACAATTGGACAATGCTTGAAAACAATGAGACACTGATTATGTTTTGTCGAAGGCTTTCATGGCTGGAATCACTAGGTTCTTGTGGGTTTTTCGGGCTATATGGCCATGTTCTAGAGGCATTTCTCCTGACGTTTCCCCAGAATAGACCCTCTGAGGATGCTTGCCATAGATGCAGGCGAAACGTCAGGAGAAATGCCTCTAGAACATGGCCATATAGCCCGAAAAAAACCCCACAAGAACCTTCTGATTATGTTGTTTTTATTGCTTTTGATGTCTTATACTGTTTAATGTTTTTATCTATATTATGTTTTGTGTATACTGATTTGTTGGAAACCGCCTTGAGTCGCCAATTGGCTAAGAAAGGCGGTATACAAATACAGTAAATAATTAAATAAATATTTTTTTCCAAATTTTGTTACATAGTGTTATAGTTCTGACTTACCCCAGATCCCTGCTCCAGCCAGTAACTCAGCCACCAGTTGCTGAAAGCTGAACAGCCAATCATGAGGCCAAAGAGGAGGATGAGGAAGAACCACAGGATGAAACCTATGAGAAGATTGGGTCAACTTAGTTATGATAAGCATACCTTCGAATATTCAAACTACCTGAAACTCATATTATATTCCCCAACATGAAATCGTTGGGAGTCCTGGGATCCTCAGGGGAGGGCTTTCTTTTGGTCTCACCTGTTTAGTGAAGACCTTCTTGTCTTCATCAAATGTGCCTGGGATAGTTGTAGGACCAAAAGAAAGCCATCCCTTGGAGATCTCAAAATGCTGCTGGACTCACAGAAGACTTGGGTCAGGCAGTCTTGACCCAAGCTGTATTTGGTTTTATAGATCAGAATCAGGATTTTGAATTCATCTTTTGGAGAACAAGCCCTATGAGGAGCGGCTTAAAGAGCTAGGCATGTTGAGCCTGAAGAAGAGAAGGCTGAGAGGAGACATGATAGCCATGTATAAATATGTGAGAGGAAGCACAGGGAGGAGGGAGCAAGCTTGTTTTCTGCTTCCTGGAGACTAGGACGCGGAACAATGGCTTCAAACTACAAGAGAGGAGATTCCATCTGAACATGAGGAAGAACTTCCTGTCTGTGAGAGCCGTTCAGCAGTGGAACTCTCTGCCCCGGAGTGTGGTGGAGGCTCCTTCTTTGGAAGCTTTTAAACAGAGGCTGGATGGCCATCTGTCAGGGGTGATTTGAATGCAATATTCCTGCTTCTTGGCAGAATGGGGTTGGACTGGATGGCCCATGAGGTCTCTTCCAACTCTAGGATTCTATGATTCTTGGAACAGTTCTGCTTTTCACAAAATACAGCCATCAGGCCTAGCAGATCTTGAGCCATGAATCTTTGTATTGTCCAATTTGTATTGGATCACTATTTCGTATCTGTACCCAATGGGACTAGATCCTCCAGCGAAAGACTCAGTGACCAATTTCTGTGGGAAGCTGGCTATAGAATCACATAAGAGGACCTAAGACATAAGAGGAGATAAGACAGGAAAGCTTGGAGAAGGGAATGATGCTGGGGAAAATGGAAGGAATAAGGAAGAGGGGCTGACCAAGATCAAGATGGATGGATAATATCCTTGAAGTAACTGGCTTGACTTTGAAGGAGCTGAGGAGTGGCCACTAGGCATGGTTAGGTATCATCGGAATACTTATAATTTGGAATAAAGTTGGAAAAGTTACCCTTTTAAAGCAATTTCGAAGTTATTTTAAAAACAGGAAGTCCCTTTGCCCTTTCGAAGTTTTCCTCACCATTTTTGATATGACTCAGGAAGTGAGTTGGAAGTGCGTCAGTGTTTGGAGGCAAGCAGCCTCCCAGCATGCAAGATGCTTTCCTCCCAAACAATTAGGGGAGAAGTTTTGGGGAGGGGAGGGGTTTCGGCATGACAGCCATTGTGCTATATAAAGGGCAGCACATGGCTCAGATGCTCATTCAGAGCTGGGAAGGGAAGGGAGAAGGGAAAGGGAAAGAGAAAAGGAAAGGAGGTTGTGAAGGGAGGTTGGAAGAAGAGCGGTTGTAAGAGCAGGGCAAGTGGAGAAGGGCTGTTGCCTGGCTGGGCTGCCTACCTTACGACTTGTGTGTTGTTGCTATTGGGGTGTGGGACGTGTGGGCGATGCATGGGTGGGTAATAGGGTGCATGGTGTGGCGTGGGTGGAAGGACGGAAGGAACAGCACGGAGGAAACAAAGCACTCCAATATTTGAAAAAGCCCCAGCATTGTAGCAGGTCTCTCTGGCCGGGCCTCTGTGTTGTACATTGCCTCAATAGAACTAGATCTCCCATCAATTCAAGCCACTCTTAGAACACAAACTATCCTTCCTAAAGGTGTAAAATCAACATCCAAAGGTCTTTCTCTGCTGTTTGTTTCCTTTGTTTGTCTTGTGTTGCCAGAAAAGACACTACAAATCCCATATAGTCAAAATATTCTTCCTAAAGGTGTGAAATCAACTTTAATGAAGCAATTAGAAAATTTTGGAAATTTAGGAAAGTTCCTAAGGAAAAAATCAGAATTCAATTCCGAGTTGAACCACCAGTGCCCCCTACATCCGAAATGAGATTTGAATCATTCTTTTTGATGAACCAAGCCTAGTAGCCATGGCCGACAGGGAGCTCTGGCCTAGGATGGTCCATGAGGTCATGAAGAGTCAGAAGTGAATGAACGAATAAACAACAACAAGAGGACCTAGAGCAGTGGTTCTCAACCTGCGGGTCCCCAGGTGTTTTGGCTTACAACTCCCAGAAATCCCAGCCAGTTTACCAGCTGTTAGGATTTCTGGGAGTTGAAGGCCAAAACATCTGGGGACCCACAGGTTGAGAACAACTGGTCTAGATCCAGGGAAGTCATGCTACCCCTCTATTCTGCCTTGGTTGGACCACGCCTGGAATACTTTGTACAATTCTGGGCACCACAGTTAAAGGGAGATGTTGACTCTAAGCTGAAATGTGTCCAGAGAAGGGAGACTAAAATGATCAAGGGTCTGGAGAGCAAGCCCTATGAGGAGTGGCTTAAAGAGCTGGGCATGTTTAGCCTGCAGAAGAGAAGTTGGGGTTCAGCCTCCGTGTGAACCTGACCCTCAGCCTCCGTGTGAACCTGAACCTGATTCTCTGATTGTATTTCCTGATGCAACTGAACAGGCTACTGAACATGTATTTTTCCCTGATGGTTTGGAAACTGTTGATTCTGAAGGCAGTGGCTTGGAAAGTGAAACTACACATCCTGATGAGAATGTTTCAGAATCAAGCGGTGATAACTCTCCAGAGGAGCTAGCACCTGCCTTTTTTAATGAGGATAGGAAAGGACAGATTTGGAAAAACAGGAGTGAATCACAGAGTCTGCGAAGGTCAAGTAGATTAAAGGAAAAGGAGGCTTCAAAGCCTGGAGGCGTGTCCCGAAACAGTTTCTTTAGTTTTAAGTGTCTCCCCCCGGGCTGTCTCGTTAGATCAAGCATCGTTTAGACTGAGGCATTACCTTGGCAGATTTCCCGTTTCCCATGGCCTGCATTCCCAGAGGCTTCTAGTTTCCAAGTACGGTTAGTGAGATGCTAACAGGTTCCAGGTTTTTATAGTGTTGCTTTTGGAATTTTGATCTAGTTCATAGATATTCCTGACTGCTGAATTTTACTGTGGCTTTTTGGACTTTGTATTTTCCTCTATTTTGTAACCATTTTTCATCAATAAAAAAGGATTGTTTTTTCCTACAGTCAAGTGTGGTGGATTAATATCTTATGGTCTTGTTTCCTGATCTGGGTTGCAACAAAAAGCCTGAGAGGAGACATGATGAGGGCCGTGGGGAAGTTGAAGACCTAAACATCTGGGGACCCACAGGTTGATAACCATTGACCTAGAGATTCCTAAAGACGAATTCTCCCCGGGAATCTCAGGGACTTCCAATGTGAGATCTGGAGGGAGTTGGCTATTGAGTTGCCCTGGAGAACCTAGAGATTCTTAGAGAAAACATATTAATCAAATATGGGAATATTCAAATCTGCAAAAGGAAACCCTTCAAATGTGTAAAAATATATGCGTTGGCTGAAAGTGACAAAGGCAGGAAGGTAAATGTGCCTGAGAAGGAAGCTTCCCTTGGGAGGTACCTCCAGAGGCCTTGATGTAAGTGTGGTAGGTTTTCCACGTCACGGAGCCTTCTTGCCGTCCTTCTTCTTGAACAAGTTGGTTTGCGGGAGCTGCAACAGAGAGCATTGCGTATTATTTATTCACACCAGAATGTTATCCAGTGCTGACAAATCTCATGCATTTTAAATACAATTGGACGTCACTCATGTCGATCCACTAAAATAAACATATGAGGCTTCATGGGAGCCTCAGCGAAATGTATTCACCCGGCCAGCCTCCCCTGGATGAAGCCATATGGTAAATGCTCTCCTCCTGTTTCCCTAATGGATGTCGGATGAATCGGAATCCGTGACTGGAATTCAAAGGCGAAGGGTGTTGATTTACCAAAAAGTGATCGATACCGGTCAGCTTGATATTGTTTTTCCCCCATCCAATGGAACATAAAGCAAAACTCCATGAGACAAACGGAGAAGCAGCCAAAGAGACCAATTTCCCCTCCTTGTTTGAACTGACCATGCTTCCTTCCTATTATATTTCCAGATTCTACCTGAAACTATGGAGAGACTGTTTATTGAGAAGGCGCGATTTCCTTCTTTTTCCTCACATTAGATTTTTACTGTGTTAAAACCCCATAACTTTCGGTTCCACTACATCTTGGACGTGCCCTTTTCTTTAGACTGTTTTAGGAAGATAAATGTGATTGGTACCAAAGATAAGTCATATTTCCAGTCCATTAAAGCGATAAAAAAGAAACCGAGAGAATGGCTCAGCATTAAACACAAGGACAGAGCGAACCTGGGGGTGGAGGCAGCTGTGCAAGTTTATCTAAATGGGGGGGAGGAGAGAAATAGTATTTTGATCCCCTCTATTTAGCATAAAACTGTAATTTAAGCAATTCTGGGTTAAAATTATTAAATAATTTAAATAAGATAGAGCCATTTTTAATTTTAAGTCTAAAGCCATTTTTTTGTGTCAGGAGTGACTTGAGAAACTGCAAGTGGCTTCTGGTGTGAGAGAATTGGTCATCTGCAAGGACATAGCCCAGGGGATGCCCAGATGTTTTGATGTTTTACCATCCTTGTGGGAGGCTTCTCTCATGTCCCCGCATGGGGAGCCCAAGCTGACAGAGGGAGCTCATCCATGCTCTCCAAGGATTCGAACCTGAAACCTGACAGTCTTCAGTCCTTCCAGCACAAGGGTTAAGCCCAGCGGCTCCGTCTAAAGCCATTTAGGGCTTTGGCTGTTGCCTTTGGTACCAGGAATTCAGTTTAGAAATAAATTGGCAGCCAGTAATGAAAATGGCCCTAGGACAGTGTTTCTCAACCTGCAGGTCGGAGCCCCTGGGGTGGTTGTGAGGGGGTGTCAGAGAGGTCGCCAAAGACTGTCAGAAAACACAGTATTTTCTGTTGGTCATGGGGGTTCTGTGTGAGAAAATTGGCCCAATTTTATCATTGATGGGGTTCAGAATGCTCTTTGATTGTAGGTGAACTATAAATCCCAGCAACTAGAACTCCCAAATGTCAAGATCTATTTCCCCCAAAATCTACCAGTGTTCACATTTGGGCATATTGAGTATTCATGCCAAGTTTGGTCCGGATCCATCACTGTTTGAGTCCACAGTACTCTCTGGATGTAGGTGAACTACAACTCCTGAACTCAAAGTCAATGCCCACCAAACTCTTCCAGTTTTTTCTGTTCATCATGGGAGTTCTGTGTGCCAAGATTGGTTCAATTCCGTTCTTGCTGGAGTACAGAATGCTCTTTGATTTTAGGTGAACTATAAATCCCAGCAACTACAACTCCCAAGTGACAAAAGCAATCCCCCTCCCAATCCCACTAGTATTCAACTTTGGGCATATCGGGTATTTGTGCCCAATTTGATCCAGTCAATGAATGAAAACACATCCAGCATATCAGATATTTACATTATGAATCATAACAGTAGCAAAATTACAGTTAGGAAGTAGCAACGAAAGTAATGTTATGGTTGGGGGTCACCACAACATGAGGAACTGTATTAAAGGGTTGCAGCACTAGGAAGGTTGAGAACCACTGCCCTAGGAGGTTGAACATGGTCTGCAAGCATCACTTCACCATCTATATGTTTACATACTTTAGGGCAGTGGTTCTCAACCTTTAGTCCTCAAGGTATTTTGGACTTCTGCTCCCATAATTCCTAACAGCTGGCAAACTTGCTGGGAATTCTGGGAGTAAAACTCCAAAATACCTACAAGATCGAAGGTTGAGAACCACTGATTTAGGGTATGAGACTATCTTCCAGAGCAAGGATAATCGTTCCCACTTTGAATTCGGAATAAATGCCTTTGAATGAGGTGAGATGATGGAGCTGCTGGTAGCATAATGGGTCAAACCCTTGTGCCGGCAGAACTGCTGACTGAAAAATTGATGATTCAAATCTGGGGAGCGGGGTGAGCTCCCATCTGTCAGCTCCAGCTTCTCATGTGTGGACATGAGAGAAGCCTCCCATTGGATGGTAAAACATCTGGGCGTCTCCTGGGTAAAATCTCTGCAGACGGCCAATTCTCTCACACCAGAAGCAACTTGCAGTTTTGCAAGTCCCTCCAGACATGAAAAAAGGTGAGATGATGGGTTTAATCTCCCCATAACATACCTGTATCTCTTTCTATTTCAAGTTCTTTCTTTGGTTCCTCGCTGGTCTCATCAGACATATCAAAAGCTGGGGACATGAGAGAGAACTGTCAGGCAAAGGATCATAGCTATCTATATAAATAAAAATGTAATGTTCATTTGTGGGATTAACATAACTCAAAAACAACTGGGCGAATTGACACCAAATTTGGACACAAGACACCTATCGGGCCAATGAGTGACCATCACTCATAAAAACACTGAAAACATAGCAGAAGAGACTTAAAAATCCAATAAAATAAAATAAAATAAAAATACATTACAATGCATGTGCAAAACCATATATATAAACGCAAACACACATATATACACATATACAGAAATATAAACACACACAAAGCAAATATATACAGACTGGCCCACAGCAACACATGGCAAGGGACGGCTAGTCTATATAAATAAAAATGTAATGTTCATTTGTGGGATTAACATAACTCAAAAACCACTGGGCAAATTGACACCAAATTTGGACACAGACACCTATCAGGCCAACAAGTGACCATCACTCATAAAAACACTGAAAAACAGCAAAGAGACTTTAAAAGCCAAAAAATAAAAAAATACATTACAATGCATGTGCAAAACCATATATATATATATATATATATATATATATATATATATATATATGCAAACACGCATATCTACACATATACATGAATATATACACACACATATATATATACATACACAAAATACATATACAGAGACTGGGCCACAGGGGATGGCAGGGGATGGCTAGTTTAAAATAAAAAGGAAAGTAAGATTTTTCAGTTATTTTACCAGGGTTTTCCACTCCTTTGAAAGAGACATCTGGAACATTATCCTGCACTACTTCTGCTGTTCCTGTCACTGCACGTGAGTCAAGGAAATCGCTTGGACCCTGAAACAAGCAAATGCATCCATCAAAGGTACAAAGCCATCTCCTGTTTTCAATCTGGCAGCTTCAGGAGCAACAGGGTATGATCAGTAGACTCTCTATGGAGGACATTACAATCTCTGGCACCTAGCAATTGTTCATCCCTGCTTTAAAATTTGGATGGTAATTCCATAAAGGTAACTGATATTAATGGTTACTAATTTGGATTGTTATGGACTAGTGCTTTTTAAACTATGGGTCCTGACAAACAATGAGGTTCCCTGGGCTCAATGTTCAAGTTAATGAAAAAATTGGCAACAGTAAAAGGTTTCTGAATGCCACCTAGTGGCTGTTTAGACATTTACATGAATCTGTTAGCAACAAAGCTTACAGTTTACAGAAAATGCTTCAGCTGTACTTCACAAAATGGAAGATCACCCTATTTGCAAATGCTGATTTATTATCAGTTAATGTTTAGTTTTTATACTATGACACTGGAAACCATTGAGGGGTCCTCAAACTTTTTAAACAGAGGGCCAGGTCACAGTCCCTCAAACTGTTGGAGGGCCGGATTATAATTTGGAAAAAAAAACATGAATGAATTCCTATGCACACTGCACATATCTTATTTGTAGTGCAAAAACCCCTTTAAAATGATAAGGTAAAGGTAAAGGTTTCCCCTAAGTCCAGTTGTGTCTGACTCTGGGTCTCTGGTGGTCATTTCCATTTCTAAGCCGAAGAGCCAGCGTTGTCCGTAGACACCTCCAAGGTCATGTGGCCGGCATGACTGCATGGAGCACCATTCCCGCCAGAGTGGTATCTATTGATCTACTCACATTTTGCATGTTTTTGAACTGCTAGGTTGGCAGAAGCTGGGGCTGACAGCGGAAGCTCACGCCGCTCCCCGGATTCAAACCTGTGACCTTCCGGTCAACAAGCTTAGCAGCTCAGTGGTTTAAATGAAGAACAATGTTAACGAATATAAACTTATTAGTATTTCAATGGGAAGTGTGGGCCTACTTTTGGCTGATGAGATAGGATTGTTGTTGTTGTTGTGTGCTTTCAAGTTGTTTCAGACTTAGGTTGACCCTGAGTGAGGGCTGGGTAAATGACCTTGGAGGGCCGTATCCGGCCCTCGGGCCATAGTTTGAGGACTCCTGCCATTGAGAATATATATACAGGGAAAAAAATGAAATTAAAATAAGTAGGAAGGCATGAATAAACAAAGTAAGAAGATTACAGAAACAATTAGGAAGCAAAAATCAAAGAATAGAATATAATACAGAAATTATAACTCTCTATGGAATGGAATGCAAGACTCTAAAAATTTCCTACCCTATCCTATATTTCCCAATACCTCCACCCCCCAACCCCATCCTTTGTCCCAACATCCCCCTCCATTATCCTCCCTTACCTATTCCCTATAGCTATCCACACCCATTATCTACTCTCAGCCTATACTTCCTACTTGATATGTTCATCTTCTTTTTAATGTATTTTGAAAAAGCTCTAATAAATATGAAAGAAAAAAAATGGCAACACTAAAAGGTTTCTGAATGCCACCTAGTGGCTGTTTAGACATTTACATGAATCTGTCAGCAACAAAGCTTACAATTTACAGAAAATGCTTCAGCTGTACTTCACAAAATGGAAGATCACCCTATTTTGCTGATTTATTATCAGTAAATGTTTAGTTTTTATACTATGACTGTGTAAAAAAAATGGGTGAAAAGGCATCACAACAAGTAGAAAAGGGGGGGAAATGGTATATAATGATGTACCAGTGGTACACCACCCCTAACAAATTAGCAAAATGGTACAAGGCACCTTCTTCCATATGTGGTGGAAGTGTATAAAAGCAAAAAAAAAAAAAAATACTGGAAAACAATTCATGATGCTACCCAGACGATCTTAAAGGAACAAATTAAATTCAAACCAGAATATTTTCTGTTGGGTATCACAGATGCAAAACTAGCAAAAAAATAAAGACATCCTCTTTAACTATCTGACAACAGTGGCCAGAATCGTATATGTGTGATATTGGAGAGGAGAAGAAATTCCAACTAAGGAATGGTTGACAAAAATGGTGGAAATCATGAGCATGGACAAACTAACACAACAGTTATCATACCAACTAAGCAACTCTAGGAAAGAAAGAAACTGTACTTTATTGATTAATTATATGAAAGTAGCAAAAGATGAAGAATTTAATATAAACAAGCAAAAGGAATAAGAGGGAAATATCTATTATTTGGATCCAATTAAATAGTAATAAACAAGAAACACTGAAAAACTCGAAATTCAAATTCACAAAGAAGAAGAGGGGATCCGGGATTGTGGTGCAGCTGGCTGAGTGTCAGCTGCATTAAGATCACTCTGACCAAAAGGTCATGAGTTCGAAGCCAGCCCGGGTTGGAGTGGGTTTCCAACCAATTGTGTAGCCTGTTGTCGACCTTTGCAACCCAAAAGACAGTTGCATCTGTCAAGTAGGAAAATTAGGTACCACCTTAAAGTGTGGGGAGGCTAAATTAACTAATTTATGAGGCCATAAAAAAGACTCCAGCAAAGCACTCCAGCAAAAAAGCATGTGGGGAATGCGGAAGTACTTCATCAGTGTCGCAGATGGACGATGAAAGCGACAGCTCCCCTGGCGGCCAGAAAAAGTTAAATAGCCTCTGTGTATGTCTGTATACGTTGTATGTCAAATTGGCATTGAATGTTTGCCATATATGTGTGACACTGTAATCCGCCCTGAGTCCCCTGCGGGGTGAGAAGGGTGGAATATAAATATTGTAAATAAATAAATAAATAAATCTTCCAAACTCTCCTACCCCCATCTATCCCCACACTTCCCTATCCAAACCCCAAAAAGTCCCACATCAGCCAGAATAACTTATGCAAATTGAAAAATTTAATAAAAACTATATTAAAAAATAAGTAGAAAAAGTTTATATATCAAAGGAGCTTATATATCACTTTTTCTTGTGCAGTCAGCCTGTCACATTTACTGGGGTCATGGACTCAGGACTTCCAACATGACTCTATGGTCAACTTGCACTGAGAGCTGCAATTGGAAGATGCAGAGATTCCTAAAGAGGTATTATCTCTAGAAATCTCTAGGTGACCTAAAGAGTCTCAGGTAGAACTTTAAAAATCAAATCCCCGAAAGATCAAATCTGCAAAAGACAGAACCACATATGTGAAGGGACAGTTGTATTTCAGGCCATTGGTCTGATCCAACAGAGCTGTCCATACATTCATACAGTCCATACATTCATACAAGTAAACCAGTTGGATGCCCAAACCTACCGTTGCTTCTTCTGCATGCAGATTTTGGATGAGATGAGCATAGCGCCCTTTCGCTTCCATCAGTTCTGCGTGGGAGCCGCTCTCGCATATCTCCCCATCTTCTAGCAGTATGATTTCGTCACAAAATTCCAAATACTGGTGTGTTGCCATATTCATTTATTTATTTAGGAAAGAGGAAATTGAAACAGAATCTGTGAATATTTCTGAGCATCCTGAATATATTTTTTAAAGACTTCTATTTTTTTAAAAAAAATACAGAATTGTTGTGCTTCTCCTGGAGCTGAAATGCTATACATTATTTACTACTCTTATTATAGGTATATAGCCCTGTTATTTCAAAATCCAATTATCACAGGGACAGCAAGTGAGGGGAAATCTTCTGAACAGGGGTATATACTATGCAAAGACATGCATACACACACACACACCTATATACATACATACACATACAGTAGAGTCTCGCCTATCCAACATAAATGGGCTAGCAGAACGTTGGATAAGCGAAAATGTTGGATAATAAGGAGGGATCAAGGAAAAGCCTATTAAACATCAAATTATGCCATGATTTTACAGATTAAGTACCAAAACATCATGTTTTACAACAAATCGACAGAAAAAGCAGTTCAATGCATGGTAACATTATGTAGTAATTACTGTATTTACAAATTTAGCACCAAAACATCACAATGAATCCACAGCAAACTGCATTAGTTAATACAGAATGTTGGATGAGCGAAGCTGGGATAAGCAAGACTCTACTGTAGATACATTCCTGGGCATTGCTTCCATTTACAGATAATTCAGGACTAGAGGCAGGACTAGAGTCAGTTACTACATTCGAAAAGGTATAGTTTCGAACCTGCTAGGACTTTAAGATCGTCTGGGGAGGCCCTGCTCTCGATCCCACCTTCGTCATAAACACGTTTGGTGGGGACGAGAGACAGGGCCTTCTCAGTGGTGGCCCCTCGGCTATGGAACGCCCTTCCTGGGGACATTAGATCGCCCGCCCCCTTCCTCTTAACATTTTGGAAAAGAGTCAAAACTTGGTTGTTTGAGCAAGCCAGGCCCGTAGCCAGGATTTTGTTTGGGGGGGGGGACTGAGTTTGATTCGGGGGGGGCTGAGTCTGAGTGAAAGAGGGTCTACCCTAGCAAACCTATCATTACCCCAATACCCCCATGCATATGGGATATATTGAGCATGGTGATCAGATCATGATATGAATAAACATAACAGTTTAAATAATGTACCAGTAAGGCCTTTTCGAGAACCACCATGAGAATTTTGGCTACATGCGGCTGAAGACCCTCAAGCCCCCCCCCCCCAGCTACATGCCTGGAGCAAGCATTTGAAAATACAAGGTAAAAGACATAGGAATTGGAACGACTGGACGACGAGATGGGACAATGTTTTTTATTAAGGGACGCAAATGAGTTTTATATTCTTGTTATGGTTTTATATTTTGTTTTAATATTTTTAAATGCTTTATAGTGCTTTTGGGTATCAAATCGTTGCCATTGTAAACTGCCCTGAGGGCTGAGAAGGGCGGTATACAAATACAGTAAATAATAAAATAATAATAATAATTCCAGCATATTTCAGCAGACTTTTTATTCAAAACCTATAACATGCACATGTGAAATGAAACAACTAGTGGGAGCATCGATACTGTAGAATGAACATAGTTTGACACCACTTTAGTGGACATCCGTAGAGATACCAAGGTGCTTGTTTATAAAGCTATTGTCCTCCCAACCCTGCTATATGCCTGCGAAACGTGGACTGTCTACAGGCGTCACATGCAACTCCTGGAACGATTCCATCAGCACTGCCTCCGGAAAATCCTGCAAATCTCTTGGGAAGACAGGCAGACAAACGTCAGCATGCTGGAAGAAGCAAAGACCACCAGCATTGAAGCAATGCTCCTCCGCCATCAACTCCACTGGACCGGCCATGTTGTCCGGATGCCTGACCACCATCTCCCAAAGCAGTTGCTCTACTCCGAACTCAAGAATGGAAAACGGAATGTTGGAGGACAGGAAAAGAGATTTAAAGATGGGCTCAAAGCCAACCTTAAAAACTCTGGCATAGACACTGAGAACTGGGAAGCCCTGGCCCTTGAGCGCTCCAGCTGGAGGTCAGCTGTGACCAGCAGTGCTGCAGAATTTGAAGAGGCTCGAATGGAGGGCGAAAGAAAGAAGCGTGCCAAGAGGAAGGCGCGTCAAGCCAAACCCGACCGAGACCGCCTCCCACCTGGAAACCAATGCCCTCACTGTGGGAGAAGATGCAGATCAAGAATAGGGCTCCACAGCCACCTATGAACCCACTCCCAGGACACCGAACTTGGAGGACCATCATCCTCGGACTACGAGGGATCGCCTAAGTATAAAGCCCTAAACGACTCCAGCCCAGTTTACCTGTCCGAACGGATTCTCCCCTATGAACCATCAAGGTTACTAAGATCTTCCGGAGGGGCCCTGCTCTCGGTCCCACCACTTTCGCAATCGCGTTTGGTGGGAACGAGGGACAGGGCCTTCTCGGTGGTGGCCCCTCGGCTTTGGAATTCCCTCCCACCAGAGATTAGATCTGCTCCTTCCCTCCTGACCTTTAGGAAACTAATAAAAGCCTGGCTTTGGAACATGGCATTTGCGGATTGAGTCAATAACCCTCGTCCACATGGAAGGAGGATGATGAACTGTGACTGTGACTGTATTGACAACTTGGCTTGTGTAATGTGATGATGATGTTTTTATTGTACTTATATCTTAATGTGTAATGATGATGCATTGTGTTGTTTTGTATATTGTATATGAACACATGTTGTGAACCGGCCTGAGTCCCTCCTTGGAGGTGAGAAGACCGGTATATAAAACTTCTAAATAAATAAATAATAAGTAAGTAAGTAAATAAGTAAGCAAGTGGGCAGAGTTGAATCCTATGGAATTCTGGGATTTGTACTTTGGTGGGGCACCAACATTCCTTGGCAATGAAGGCTAAAGACCTTGTAAAACTGCACCTCCCGTGATTCCATACCATTCAGCCATGGCAGTTAAAGCAGTGGCAAACTGTATTCATTCTACAGTGTAGATGCACCCTGAGAAATAAGAATGTAAGAACTCGTTGTACTAGAATCCTGTGAAACCGATTCAACACAATCAAATGAAAAACAAACTGAAAAGTATACCAATACAAAATAGTTGACTACATCCTTGATCTTACTCGCCCCATCCACCTTTAAAAGCCCTTTCCTCAGCATCGAGTCATCTGATCAAAGCCTTTTGGAAATTAAAAAAGGCCTTTGCCTGCCAGCAAAAGGACAAGCATCCCATTACATTTTATGGTAATAGCATCGTTTTATTGGTATTTGCATTCCTGGTATTGCTCAGCTACTCTGTGCACCTATTTCCAGCAGGATATGTAAATAATAGCTACATAAATAAATTGTATGCTCCATGAGACATTGAATTAGAAAAAGGTAGTGAGTTTTTGGAGAGGCAGGGGACACCTGGGGAGAATACGATCCTTTCAGAGGACTGGATGAATCAGAGAATCCAGAAACTCTAGGAAAAAGTATACGGATATATCCTTGAGGCTTTTGATTGGGTGCATTTTTGTTTATGGAACAGCTCTGCTTCTGCTGAGCAACACAAATTCTCTGCGTTCCTTTAGCAGAAATACCTTCTGCTTTCTACTTATCCTTTTTTTTAAATTTATTTTTAGTAGCTAGCTGAACACCTTAGGTATTCTGCATCTTTCCTCTGTGGCTGTTGTGCCATCTCCTGGTGGACTTTGCCATTTTATTTCTCCAAATGGTTTGGAGATTACGAGTCGTGTGCCACTTATGCTTCGGATCAGAAGCGTTTTGGATTTGGATCTCCTCTCCCAAGAGGTTGGAGCATCCAGCTTTGCATATATGTACATAATGTCTTGGAGATGGGACCCAAGTCTGATGTTTCATACACACCTTATACACATAACCTGCAGGTAAATTGTATACAATATTTTAAGTAGTAAGTGCTACAATTTTGTGGTGTGATTGAGGCACAACATAGTATTTCACACTGAGATTTTAATTAAAAGTCCAGTTTAAAACAAACACTTTGGGCCCTTCCACACAGCCATATAACCTAGAATATCAAGGCAGATAATCCACAATATCTGCTTTGAACTGAGTTATCTCAGTTCACATTACCATATAATCCAGTTCAATGTGGATTGCTGTCGCACGCTGGGCCTGTGCATAAGACTGTAGACAGGACATAAATTCTGTGTGCCCAATGGGATACCGGGGCTGCCTCAGATTAAAGGCCTTTGGATTTCCTTAAACAGAGTCTTTAGATTGCTTAAAGGTTCAACAAAGTTCTTTATTATTGAAAACAAACATTAAGGCTTTCTTAATAGTCTATTGGCTCTCTCTCAAGCTTGTCCACAGGGAACAGGCACTATATTCATAACTGTAACTAATGGGGAAATCCTTAACTTCTAATCTGGGCAGTCTGTCTTTGCTTCTGTTGGCGTGGAGCCCCTACACCCGGTACCAACTGCTTCTGGCTTCCGAGTGACCCTTACCAAGCAGAGCTTTGTAGACTTCCAGGGAAAAAGGAGTTCAGGTTTCAGTGATGGCTCAGTGATGGCTCAGTCCCTCAGCAAAGGAGCTGTAAGGCTGTATGATCCTCGGCCAAGCTGTGGGCTGTATATCTCCCTGGCCAAGCTGTAGAAGACGAAGCTTTCTACAGGAGCTCTTGGTATTATGTCCTGCATGAAAGGCTTCTCTGTGTGGACTGAACCAAAATGGCTCCTATTCCCTCCAAAACCCAAAAAGGGGGCGGGACCAGGGAACCTAACGATAATTGACAGGTGGCTTGCCCTATGATTGCAGCCAAAAGAAGCCACTATCTGCAGAGTCCCTGAAACTTAGGACTACAACAAACATTCAATGCAAAGCAAACAAAATTGGAGCTCCTGGTGCAGTTGTACCTGCACAGTGGATTTTATACAGCTGTGTGGAAGGGCCCTTAAATGTAATTCTTTCTGATTAGACTAGGCACATCAATCAGTGTGCTTTATATAAACATTGACTCATCGAATTCTTTTTGTTCCAATGTGTCTATCATATTTGGGATTTACAATTGGATGCAGATCTTGCATTCCATGTTTTAAAATTGATCACTGGATTACAACAACAATGAAAACATCAACAATAATAACAATAATAATGAATTTATTACCCGCCTCGCCCTGTGGCTCGAGGCGGGGCACAACATCATTAAAACAAGAGATACTGAAATGGCAAGGAGAAGGTTTGAGGAAAAGAGACAAAGATAGTTCCTGAGGTCTGTAAAAGCACGGTTTATTCTCGGTTGGCACCAACCGGATATGGACCCTGCTGATAGTCCAGAAAACAGGGTACTGAACAAAGAAACACCTTGGTTTACATACCCTTTAAAATAATATGCATGCATCATACAGGCATCACAATGTGTGTCACAAAATTCTACTTTTACATTGACTTCAATGGCATATTTTAACTTCAACACCTGTCAATCTTCATTTAAGCACCTTTATCTAAAGAGCAGCTATTAATGAGGACCATCCCGCCAGAGTGTCTACTAAGCTACTGATAGCAAGAGCTTCCATCCATCTTGAAATAAGTTCTTCCTGAAGTTTCTTGATAGCCAGCTCATTAATCTTATGATAAGCTCTGCTCGGTACCAAAATGGAAAGAGTCTCTTGAAATTTGCCAGAGGCCTCTTGACATTCCTTTCCTAGACCCTGGCCTCTCTTGAGGCATCTAATTTTGCAGCTTTTAAGAAACCAAGTGAAGTGAAGTTCATGCATGCATACATCCTTTATATTTTCTAATTCCTATTTCTAATATGGTTACATCACATATATATATTTCAATATATGTATCATGTATTTTCATCATGCCTTTATCAATACCTATACTCATCGAATCCTAGAGTTGGAAGAGACCCCAAAGGCTATCCAGTTCAACCCATTCCTCCATGCAAGGAACACACAATCAACTTCTAGACCTATAATCATGATTATATGCAGTCATTTCATTGTGTGCAGCCCTGCCCTAGGCTGGTACATTACCCCATTATCCCATCCTGTACCTCTTTCTGTTACCTGAAGCTGATGGGTCACAAGAAGTATAGTTTTTCCTTGCAGGGCTACTTTAATGCATTCTTCAAAAATATGCTTCCCAACATGCGCATCCACCGCCGACAGCGGATCGTCCAATAAATAGATATCTCTGTTGGCATACACAGCCCGAGCTAAGCTGATTCGCTGCTTCTGGCCGCCGGAGAGGTTGAGGCCCCTTTCCCCTATCTATAAAAGGACAAAATTTCCACATTAGTCAAGGGATAAGTTTATATATATACACTAGCTGTCCCCTGCCACGCGTTGCTGTGGCCCACATGGGGGTTCTGTGTGGGAGGTTTGTCCCAATTCTATCGGTGGGGTTCAGAATGCTCTGTGATTGTAGGTGAACTATAAATCCCAGCAACTAGAACTCCCAAATATCAAGATTCTATTTTCCCCAAACTCCACCAGTGTTCACATCTGGGCATATTAAGTATTCATGTAGAGTTTGGTCCAGATCCATCATTGTTTGAGTCCACAGTGATCTACAACTCCAAAATCAAAGGACACTGCCCACCAAACCCTTCCAGTATTTTTTGTTGGTCTTGGGAGAACTGTGTGCCAAGTTTGGTTCAATTCCCTCATTGGTGGGGTTCAGAATGCTCTTTGATTTTAGGTGAACTATAAATCCCAGCAACTACAACTCCCAAATGACAAAATCATATATTTTTTTTGAGTGATGGTCACTCCTTGTGTTGTGTGACGTTTTGTTGCCAAATTTGGTGTGATTTCGTTCATTGGTTCTTTTGTTTTTAAGGTACTCATTATGAACAGAGCATTTATAGATAGATAGATAGATAGATAGATAGATAGATAGATAGATAGACAGGCAAACAGACAGACAGATAGATATTACACACATACACACACTAGCTGTACCCGCCACGTGTTGTTGTGGCCAACCTTCCTCTTTCTTTCTTTCTTTCTTTCTTTCTTTCTTTCTTTCTTTTTCTTTCTTTCTTTCTTTCTTTCTCTCCTTCCTTCCTTCCTTCCTTCCTTCTTCTTTTTCCTCTTCTTTCTTCCTCTTCCTTCCTCTTCCTTCCTTCTTCTCTCCCTCTTTTCTTTCCCTTCCTTCTCCCCTTTCTCCCTTCTCTACTATTCTTGGACTGCAAACTCCCAGCAGTCCTCCTGATCGATCTATCTACTTACCTATCTATTCCCATCTAATCTATCTATCTGGAGAATTGCTGGGAGTTGCAGTCCAGGAATAGGAAATTGGAAATATGCTGGGATTGGGATGTTCTCAACAAAATCCAAGGAGAAGAAAGCTTGCAGGTTGGAAGCAGTGCATTTGGATCCTCCTCCTCTCCTAAAGAACCTGGTCTAGGAGATGCTGGAGCTGTAGTCCAGAAGAAGGTGTGGATATGCTATTGTGTGTTTTGTTTGCCAACCAAATCTTTTTTCACATGTGCTGTAGCATCTTTTTGGTTTTTTTTATTTTTAAGTCCCTTCCGCTGTGTTTTTCAGTATTTTTATGAGTGATGGTCACTCGTTGGCCTGATAGGTGTATTGTGTCCAAATTTGGCATCAATTCGCCCAGTGGCACCACACACACACACACACACACACACACACACACACATATATATATATATATATATATATATAGTGTCACTTTTCATAAAAAGCTTTATGGCTTTTTTAAGATGCAAGGTACCAGGCTCAATTAGCAACTGAGTCCTAAGCATAGCATTTTCCCACCACCCATGATAAATGTTCACATTACCAGCTCTTTCGTTCCCAACAGTAATTGTTGTGGAAGTTCCAATAGAATATTTGCCTCCAAAACAATTTAGATGAAACAGGGGAGTTTTGCAATTTACTATGTGGCGAATAACGATAGGATCAGGCAGGGCCGTAGCTAGAAAAATTTTTCGGGAGGGGTTGAAATTTGGGGGGGGGGTTGAAAATTTTACAGGGGGGATTGAAACCTGCCTTCTAGCTCACACGGAAGCAAAGAGCACAGCAGGGGACAGAGCAGCCTTCAATAGCCTGCAGCTCCGCCCGTCAACCACCTCCACCAAGTCTGGCCTCCTTAATGAGAGCATTCAACACACACACACCCAACTGGTTGCTTCACTACATCGGCTATTGCTGCAAGTAATGACAGTGTGAATAAATTGTCAATATTTAAGGCCTTGCATGGTCTGGGGCCGATGTACCTGAGGGACAGCCTCACTGCCTACCAACCCCAGAGATCCCTCCGTTCTGAGGACCAAGATCTATTGGAAATTCCCAGTGTCAAGACCTTGCGTCTAACAGCAACCAGACGCAGAGCCTTTACAGCAGTGGCACCATCACTCTGGAATACTCTGCCACCTGAAGTCTGCCTTGCGGGACTTATCAGCTTTCCACAGGGCATGTCAGACATACCTGTTTCGACAGGCCTTTGATCTTTGATATTGCTTTTTAAATTGTTTTAAATTGTTTTTAAATTGTGTTCGATTTTAGCCTGTTCTTGTAAGCCGCTCCGAGCCCCAGGGGAGTGGTGGCATATAAGTTCGAATAACAAACAAACAAACAAATAAATAAATATTTGCTTGAGATAGTGTTTGCAGTTCTGGAGGGACTCTTAATTTTTTGCATCTCATAGACTTAGCATGGGGATTTGGTTAACCAGTTAAAATCATGAGTAAACTGGGTTTTTTAAAAAAATCTGAAACATTTCGGGGGGGGGGTTGAACCCCTAAACCCCCCCCCCCCCCTCGCTACAGGCCTGGGATCAGGTGCATTTCCAAATCTTCTGCCTGAGCTTGCAATTTTACTTTATTTTTTTTCCTCACTACTATTTCAAAAACCTCCTAATCACCATCCTGGAAGATGTAATTCAAAATCATTATGATAACAATAATACCAACTTTCCCAAGCTCTGGATACTTTTTGCTCAAGACATTTTGCTTCCTGAAGCAGAACACGAAAGAAGGCCCCTAAACTCCCCAAGTACCCCAGTGTCAGCCAAGTTATTTTGGCACCTGAGGCAGAAAATGCCAGGATAAGTTCAAAATAGCACCACAATAATAACAGCAGCAATAATTTATGGTCTTTTCACACGATTCCAAATCTGCTGCCTGAGGCCATTGCTTCACCCTTCCTAATGACAGAGTGGAATACAGGGACCTTGGAGCTATTTCCAAGATGGGGGGCAGTCAAAACTGTCAGGCAAGTCATTATCCATTTTGTTTCCTTGGACAAATGTTTTTGCAAAACCATAAAAAGATAGCATACAGTGAATAACAACGATGCCACCGGGGAAAGCTGTTAACCTTGTGAGTACCGTGACGACGGTGCCAAAATTATCAATGAAATATTAGAAAATTGCTGAAAGCATGACATTAATAAATCAGGGAATGTAAGAAATGCAAAGGTGGCTATAATGAGACTTTGGATCAGTAGTTCTCCAGAAGGGCAACAACAAAGGAGCCTTGGGCATCCCGTATTGGTGAAGGCTTCCATGGCTGGAATCACTGGGTTGTTTGAGTTTTCCAGGCTGTATGGCCATGTTCCAGAAGCATTCTCTCCTGACATTTCACCTGCATTGATGGCAGGCATCCTCTAAGGTTGTGATGCCTGTTGGAAACTAGGAAAATTGGGTTTATATATCTGTGGAATAATGTCCAGGATGGGAGAAAGAACTCTTGTCTGTTTGAGGTAGGTGTGAATGTTTCAGTTGGCCACCTTGATTAGTATTTAATGGCCTGGCAGTTTCAAGGTTTGGCTTCTTACTGCCTGGGGGAATCCTTTGTTGGGAGGGGATTAGCTGTCATGTGGACAATTTCAACAGAAAGGAGGAAACCATGAAAATGAACAAAATCTGGCTACTGGTATTTAAAAATCATAACACTTAAATAAAAAGCAACACTTGAAAACAGGGAAATTCCAGACAAGAAACTATCAGGGCCAGCTAATCACCTCCCAACAAAGGATTCCCCTAGGCAGTAAGAAGCCAGACCTTGAAATTGCTGGGGAAATTGCTGTGGCCATTTGAAACATTCACACCTACCTCGAACAGACAAGAGTTCTTATTTCTCCCACGCTAGACATTCCACAGAGATATAAATCCTATTTTCCTAGTTTCCAACAGACCTCACAACCACTGAGGATGCATGAAATAGATGCAGGTGAAATGTCAGGAGAGAATGCTTCTAAACATGGCCATACAGCTCAAAAAACCTACAACAACCCAGTTTAAATGCATTACATGGTAGTGTGGAAGGGGCCATGGTGGCGCAGTAGGTTAAACCGCTGAGTTGCTGAACTTGTTGACCAGAAGGTTGACGGTTTACTTCCACGGAGTGGGTAAGCTCCAATTGATAGTCCCAGCTTCTGCCAACCTAGCAGTTAGAAAACATGCAACTGTGAGTAGATCAATAGGTACTGCTCCGGCGGGAAGGTAATGGCGCTCTATGCAGTCATGCCACATGACTTTGGAGGCGTCTACGGACAACGCCGGCTCTTCAGCTTAGAAATGGAGATGAGCATGAACCCCCAGAGTCGGAATCGACTAGACTTAATGTCAGGGAAAACTTTTACCTTTACCTTAGATGGGGCCAAAGTTACCAAGGAGAAGAGTTGTACATGCGGAATATTTGCAGTGTCTCTGAAATGCAAGAATTATTATATACGAGTATGTTTTCATTCATTTCACTCGTAGCTGTACCTCTGGCACATCCTGGGTTGTTTCCTCTTTCCTTTATTTGAAGGCTATCTTTCCGCCAGATTCGATATTACCTTATCTGTTTTTGACAATGGAGCCAAAGGCAAGGAGAGAGCTATTCTATTGCCCAGAAAAAAGCAGGTTTTCAAAATCAAGTACATCTCTCCGGAGACGAGATAATTATCCCCTTCTCTGTCATGCAGGGTGCTTTCCAAACATTGCGACTCCAATACAAATGGTTTTCTTTTCAGTGTAAGGGGAACATTGCCAACAAGTTTGGGATTAAGCCTTGGACAGGACCAAAGCACTTTGCTTACACAAAAGAGGCAGCAGGGTGGATGTTGCTTAAAATGCTGCACATGACATTGCAACGGGACTGTGGTGCAGCTGGCTGAGAGTCAGCTGCATTAAGATCACTACTGACCGAAAGGTCATGAGTTCGAAGCCAGCCCGGGTTGGAGTGAGCTTCCGACCAAAATTGTGTAGCTTGTTGTCGACCTTTGCAACTGAAAGACAGTTGCATCTGTCACGT